CGTAAGTCAACTCAAGGGAAAAACCAGGAAACAGAGAACCCAGGAGCTGACATGAAGTCGCTGCTGGGAGCCCCAGACATTCCAGAAAGAAAGTTATCAGCCCGGCCGAAGCCCCTCCCATATTCATGCTGCCTGCTCTTCCCAACAGACCAAGCCACTGTTCGGCGGCGGTGGTCCAGGGCTCTGCTCTGCACCCTCCTCCTGTGCCTCACAGAGCTCCTGGGCAGCCTGCCACGGGACCAAGTCCCTACCCGCCAGGAGGAGCTACCGGCCCTAGGAGCGTGGAGGGGTCAGGGCATGGAGCCCACGGGGACCAGGTGCAGACCAGGCGGTCCGGAAGGGCTCTGTGCCTCTCCCTGCCCCAGCCCTGCACCAGTCACCACCAACGAAAGACGGAGTTAGTCCTGGGTGCAGTGGGTGGGGCCCAGAGTTACCTGCACCCCGTATCACTCATGCTGGACTCTGCAAAATTCTAACACGTGTTGGCATTTTCCGCCTTGAGATGGGAAAGACCACACCGCCGTCCTAGGAAGGACCACGCTGCCGGCCACCCTTCTCTGGAGGAGCGCGCTCCGTGGCGTCACCTGCACCGTGCTAGCCAATCTTCTAAGGTGTAAACTGAGGCTATTCCACCTGAGCAGCAGAAGGGGCTGCCGCCAGCAGTGGCACGCTAACCAACACCGGCCTGACCAACGGCGGGCATCGAGTCATTGGCCAAACAGGGTCACGAGTTGCCATGCACCACAAAAACAGCCGTCACTTCCACATGAAGAAAAGTGCTTCTCGTTTCTCTGTACTCTTTGGCATCTACAAACACCGTCAAGGCTCACGGCCGCCCTGCTGCCGCCCCCCTCCCTGCGTTGGCAGCCCCCTCTCTCCCAGCGCTGCCTCCCCACCGCCATCCCCTCCGGGACCTGCCGAGAGGTCAAGCTGGGGCACATCCCTCGACTGCAGCCGCAGGCGTTCTGGGTGCTGAGCGACTGAGTCAGCGCAGCCCCACCCCCACTCCTGGCCGCGGCACCCGGCTCTCCCTGCTGTTCCTCCGCGCTGCCTGGTCTACCCACTCGCCGTGTTCATCGTCTGTCTCCCTCCTCTGGCGTGGGAGCCACACGGACAGGGGGCTGGTCTGCTTTGTCTCTACCTGTGCCCCGACCACTCAGCGCGATGCCTGGCCCACGCTAGGCGCTGCGTGGTCAGGCTCCGGGCGCAGTCAGCGGGGTGCTGAGCCGCCCACGGAGATTGCAGGAGGCAGGTGCTGGGATGGCAGGTCCTGGACAGCGGAGCGAGGGCTGGCCTCGGAGGCGAGGGAGGTGGGCATCCGCCCTGCGTCTCCCTACAGAGCTTCCCTGCTGCGGCTGGTTTTAGACGGGGCTCCTTCAGGCGACTCTGCCAGCTTCTTTGGTTTTCAGCCGCAGTTTTCAGAGAGCCTTGCTAATCTGTGCTCTATCATAGTCTTCCCTCAGCCCCTCCCTGCTCTGGAGGGCGCTTCAAATTAGACCTACCAAACGTTAAAGCTGGAAGAAACCAAAAAGACATCACTTGTGTTTTTAGTTTGGAACTAAAATTATGCTTTGGGGACTCTTCCATCCCTGGGCTTCCCACTGGACAGACACTACTACTAATAAAGTTCCTATATTAGCCTCCCCTGACCCCCGCAGAGGTACTCGTGTGAAG